GTATATATACCAAATATTGGTTAGGTTCAATATTATAAAAGATCGTTTTCAAAACTCGTTCTGGTACATGGACAATAATTCTATAAAATGTAGGTACCTACCTACATATCACTGCGTACATTAATCGAYGTCTGTCGTGAATGTCGAAACTAATATTATGATTTATTGAACTCGACAGTTGTACGACAATCCAGTATCCCAGACATTCGGAGTGCAGACTGAATTCAACGAACAGCTGTTCTCGAATCCGAAAACTTGGACGTCCGTTTGCGTCGACGCGTCTACCCAAGTAAACGACATTGATGTAAGTCCGTCGCCCGGTCAGGGTACACAAAACAAAGCAAAATAGTAAACTATGATGTGATCCAACGAATGACTACGTACCTTTTAAATTATTTCCGTACGGCATGTTTTTTCTTAGCTATTCGATTACGAAGCTGAGTTAACGAAGATAGTAGAGGTACAGATCGGCGACGTGTTCGAAAAGGTCATAGACGAAGTGGTATACGAAGTCGAAATAGAAATGAGAGACCGGAAACAGAGAGAGCTGCGCATGCATCGCGCCATAGAAGAGAATAAATTACAAAGGCTGATTTACGAAGAATTTAAATCTAATAAGCTTATAGTGAGTTTAACCTTAAGTTTTTGTAATATTAACAAAAAAAAAATTGATTCTTATGCTTACAACAAGAGTCATTCGCCATTTTAGAATATTATCAACTTTTTAACTTTCAATCTTAAATAAATATAATTTAATAGTTCGGGATACAATATTGTTCTTTTTTTTTATCAAAAACTTTAATAAATAGCAAAAACGGAATGTCGTTTTATAATTTCTTTCTTATGCTATATTCTATACATTCATTGGATTAAATATAATATTATACCGGCTATCCATACAATATTAGATGATACAAGTGATACAACACATCATTTGTTATAAACTCGATTATACAAATTAGAAAAACACATTATAAATGTGCAGGTTTTAATTAATTTTGAATTTTTAAATTTAGGTTATTATTTCTCAAGTTTTAATACGCTTTGATTATTGTATTAATGTGATGTTACTTTTTATTTCAGGCTGAACACACTGAATTCTTCGATAGGGTCAAATTGTAAATTTAAAAGACGAACTGGAAACGGGAGTTAAATTTCACAATCTAAAGGCTGAAATTGATTAAATATTTAATGATTATGTTTATTATTTTTACCTAACTTTACCTTACTAAAATAGTTACAGAAAAACGGGAAGCTTTTAYACAAAACCATATTATATTTTTGTGTGTAGTAAATTGAAATAACTATTTAAACTATTTAAAATAAAATAACTATTTTAYGTCAATCAAGCTTTGTAATTTTGTTGCAATTAATTCCAAAGACATTGACTGTTATATTACGTTTGAATAATATTATAAAAATGTCAAAATCTAAATTTCAAATATTACACATGAATCGTCTTTCAATCAAAATTTTAGAAAATGGTTAAAAATAAAATTCAAAATATTTTAAGAATTTTATCTTGATTTTAATTTATTACATAAAGAAACATAATCTGGTTTTGCGTAAAAGCWTTCTGAAGTCATAGGTAAATCAAACATAATCATTAAATATTTGATCAATTTCAGCCTTTAAATTGTGAAAATCAAATGAAAGAGCTTTTGGTTAGGTACACACCGAAAATTACCGAGTGTACACCTAGCTTGGACCTAGCAATAATTGCTTACAAATCATTACTGTTGGTACTTATAATACTAATTAACTGCCMGTTTCAAATTTGATTAGATTAATATAATTTTAATTCACCGTGCGCAGCGCTCCTGTTTCCAGTTCGTCTTTTTACAGCCCTTGGCGCATGATRACTTGTCTGAACACGTCGGCGAAGTCACTCATCGGTGAACAAAAAACTTGCGTTAATTTAATTTAATTTATATTTTATTCGACGGTGCGAATGTGCACATTATCCTGCATAATATTATATGTTTGTTGCCGTGTCCACGTATCCATTTCGACTTCGTTGAGCACTTGAATTTTATGAACACGTCGACGACCTTGGAATCGGTCTGTGATATTGCGGATAATTGTACAACCACGCGAGTTCAAATTACACCACATTGTTGGGTACACATATTATCATGTAATATTGTTAAATTTAAATCATACTGAATAAACAAAATTTCACTATCAACTCTATTCTTGATTTATTATTGACAAATGTATATATTTTTTCTCGATTCCCTTAATGGGCCTAATGCAAGACACCTATGAAAACGGATTTAAATTGAACGTGAATAATTCAATAACATTTGTCGATAATTCCGCTGCACTGCACTGATCGGGCGTCGGCGTTATTATGAAAAAGATAAGCATTAAAAACGGGATATTCCCCATATTATTGTACACTAACATGACATAAAATACAATAAATTTAAATATCAATGTAATTATAAAATGCAAATCATGAATAACCAAATTACAATACACTTATAGTGCTTATAGAAAAGTAAAGAAAATCAAAACCATTAAATAATTGAGGATTTTATTATATAGGTATAATGTAGTTCTATTATTAAAATACAAWAATATACGTAAAACATRAGTATACTTTGGATTCGCCAAGCATATTAGTTAATTCCCATTTTGCAAAATCATTCCATATTTTAATCGTATAATGTACCTACTACAAGTGTAAGTATTTAAATAAAATTAACAAACACTATACAACAGATAAAATTCTTATGTTTATGTTATTCACAGTCTTTTAAAGTATTCAAATAAATGTATACGAATATTTTTTTGTTATTCAAATACTTTTTGAAAAAAATTATATGAATACATATTTAAAAAAATTACTTCTGTATTTTTWAAAAAAATGCTTTTTTAACTCGAAAAATTGTTTAAATTTGTGACTTAACAATTTTTTATAATTATTTAAAAATTGGACAAATCAGGAATAATAGGAATAAGGTAAAAATAATTATTTATTTTTCCCTTCGCATGAAGATGATTGACCCACTTTAATTTTGAACCATTCTAAAACTGACAAATATTATTAACGGTGGAAAATATATATTGTTTTATAGTACCTATTCAAAGGTATATTTAAAATATATTTTTAAAATGTATTCKAATAAGTAATAACTAATAAGTATACTGTATAATATGTATTCCGAATAAAAAATAAAAGTATTTTGTAGAAGGAAAAAAATATAATATACAAGATGTATACAATATTGGCGTACACTACCGTTAATCATTGTTGATACCTAAGTCATTTGTTTTCGTTTTGGCTCTAAAATGTTGCTATTATTTAAATCACGGTGATCGAACGCCGAGCAGTATAAGTATTACCTATTACAGTATAGTAGTGTTATCACTTTATCAGTGTGCCAATTCCTGCCACCATATTTAACACGTCATCAGAAATGCTCGTTCAGCGTCACATTATAATAAATTATAATATTATGGTTATATTATAGTGTACGGGCATTCGCAGTTTGTACTGCAGCCTCATTGCTGACACATATAACTACGGATCAACTGCAACTTAATGTGATGCGATTAAAAGTTGTAATATATTTATTCCGATKATAAACTTTTATATACTATAACTAAAGACCAAAGTCTCCAGTCTGAAGGTACATTATATACATATATATTTAAGGTAATTAAGTCCTTGCATATTGTGACAAAATTCCCATTCCAAACGTAAAAAAAAAATTGCWTATTTAATGTATGCGTATAAACATCACCTATAGACATGAGACCGACGCAAGGAATGATGGTGTATGACGAAGCACTGATGGTCCTRTGGAATCAATGTAGGTTGATTGGCCTTATAAATAAGGTATGTAGAAAAGTTATAATTGTTCKTAATTTCAGCATGCTACTATCGTTATTCTCACTTCTCTATCTCTCTGACTAACATACAGGCATACAGGATACAGCAATGTATGGAATGTAACGAATTCTCTGTTTCTCTCTAATAAACGGACAAAATTTTGAATTTGTGTTTAAATCTTATGTAAATTATCAAATTTCTAATAATAATTCAAAATGATTTTTTCAGATATGTATTTACTTTATAATGGTTTTATTAGTAATTTACCTATTACCGTTGGTAACTCCAAATGGTTGTTCTTATTGTAAACATGGTATGTATAAGTTATTAGTTTTACACTCAAATAACTCGTATACGCCGTTTTAATAAAATAATGAAATCCGTTTTCTAACCGTTCATGGTTTGCAATTTTGCATAACTCTATGTGTAATCATGGTAATCATCGAGAAATTATATGTTAACACGATTGCATATGTAAATATTTAGATATTTTATGAGATCCTCCCTTAAATCCTTTTAATAATTTTCTTCACAGATTTAATATGATTTTAGTTTAACAGCAACACAATTTTATATTATTTAAAAAACAAAATTAATCTATGAGGATGTTATGTGATTTTTTTATAACATACTAACATTGATTTTTAGATTATGACCATGATTTTTAAATTAAAAAAAGTTATTTTTTAAATAATTTTATAATATTACAACCAATCCACAACAATATTAATTGACTTYAAATCACTAATTTTCGACCAATAAGATTTATGTGTGCTAATGGTCTTAGTTTCCGATGCCTAAGATCAATAAAAATTATATAAATAAAAAAAAATCCTTTAAAAATTAACTCTATATTCTTTTTTGTTGATCGATTTACCTAACCCTAAATTTAATCATAATAATTTAATCACATATTAAAATTTGTGAAAATTAATTCTTGTCAGTTCATGGTGTTTTGTTTTCGATGAAATATCTATTTACTATAGAAAACTCATACTATAAATGTGTATATTATACCATATTATAGTTATATTATGTTTGTTTTATATTCTTATAGATAAAAAATGGCAAAAAAGATGTGAAATGTATCATTCAGTTKAAAATCAACCATCGATGATCACGGAAGCATGGATGATTATTATTTTTATTTGCGTATTTTTAGCATTTATGATAAAAATGATTTTTGTGAACAACGGCTTAAGATCTACAGACATAGTAAATAACAACATTTTTCATGATTACATTTTTGAATATTGAACGAATACTTTAACATTTTCATTTACGCGCTTCAGCACCTCACGTAACAATTTAGTTTCAGTCACGATTCAACAATTAAAGATAATAAATAAGTATTACATTTTATCGTGATTTTACAGTAAACACGTATAGTTCCAACGCCCATAATTTTTATCTCCGGAGTTATTTTTTGTTAATATATGCGAATTTTAATTGTTAATTTCTCGTATTTTGCTACATTTATTTTGTTCTAAATACGTAAATATAACCTGAAATTTTCACTAAGATATTATTTTATCATAATCTAAATGCTTCAGGATAACATTTTCAATATTGACTTTTTTAAACCTAATAATAATTATTATTATTACCATTTAATTATTGTCGCTAAATAGCTACTTGAAAATTTAACACAAGGCTTTTCATCATAAGCTGTTATAATGRCAAAATATTTAAAATACAATTTATATTATAAACATTTAAATTTTGAAACAATTCACAAAAATATTTACATACTATTTTGTAGTAAACATTTTTAAAATGTTCAATTTGTATAAGGATTGAAAAGTTATGTAAGTAAAAGGATTCTCATAATTAGTTAATGCTATATAATAAATATATGAAAAATATATAAGCACGATTTTTTTTTTTGATACTTTTAAATTTAAATTTTGGAAGGAATTAGATATTTAAATGAAGGATAACGTTTTTATACATTAAGTTGTAACTTAAAAATATTATTCGTAATTTTTTGAAACTTTTAAAGGGTATTATTATAATATTAAATAATAATATATTTTTATATTATAATACTAATTAATACTGAAAAAAAATTATTAGGAAAAGGGATTAAAATAATATCGCAATATAATATATGCTGATCAATGTTTATTAAATGGATATTGCACTCAAGAGTTATTTAATTAATGCATAATAATAGTTATTTATTTATTATAATAGTAAACGGGATCAGCCCTTGACAATTATATGACATTAATAATTAATAATAATAATACACTATTATTACATAYATAATATTTAACAGATGATAATATAATACAAAATATATATAGGTATATAATATAAAAGTGTATTCGTGGAGGGAAGTTGCTATCACCCCTAACTATGCCATTATTTTAAGTTTAAAATGTTTAAAATAAAACTCAATAAATTACTTATAATAATTTACCATATACCTGAAATATRATTAATACTTAAGTAAAGTTAGTTAGATCCCCATATCAAATTTTGGGTATCTGTACTAAATGTTTTTGCGTGCACTATCTAAAACTTACAATAAAATACAAGCGATTCGAATGTCCCATACCTACACGATTTCTATACGTAATATATTATATTGCACATTTATAAAACCCACGATATCATAAAATAAAAATCGTATCATAATATAAAATAACTAATAGGTATTTCTAAAAAATTTCAAAAATTACCAATTAATTTCAGCACGTGCTCTTCAAATAGTCGGGACCCTGTACTCCAAATCCAATCACTCTCTCCTTGTAAGCATATATAGTGTATACTGTCACTGTGTAGTGTGTACTGCCTATATGGTTATTTGATATATATGTCAAACATATTTTTAATTACACAAATAAAAAATAATAAATGTATTTATTTATTGTTAGCAGATTTATTAGAAATATAATATCCTGACATTAGTCAAGATGTATCTCCGCTTGAAATCGTTTATTTATATGTAATAGCTTATATAGATATTCAAATTTAACACATTCATAAAAGAGCTTGGCCTACTACCTACTCAATGATGAGGTCCACTCAGATTTTACCAAGTGGCAAAGGGAGTTACCCGAGTTTTTTTAGTATTTTTTTTTGACCCAATTCCCTTATTATGAGAATAAGATTACAGATTTTACAGTGATAAAGTAAAAAAAAAATATGACACTATGAGACCACGGATGATGAAATGTTATCATAAAGTTTTTATAATTTAATCCTTCATTGGTCTATTTTTAAAGGAAATTTCGCAAATATTTAATACCCTATAAATATGAATAGGAAGTATAATTATTGATGACTGAAAACCTATCACGCGGCAACGCAACACCCTCTGCAATTTTCTTTTGATACAATTTATAAAATGAAGATACTGCAAATTGCATGTCATTACTTATTAAACATAATAATTATAATCAATATTTCAATATTATAATTTACAAGAATAAGATTACATTAATAAACGAATAATTTTAAAATATTGATATTTTTCTAGCCAACAGATGGAAATAAAGTGAACTCATGGCTACATTGGCATATAGATTTCTTTGTGATTTCCGTTGTAACCTTCTTTGGATTTTTTTTTAAGGGTCTTACCTGTTATTCAGCTGATACCATATATCATTATATACCTTTAAAACTTGGGATTACAATTATAGGTAAGTTTGTTGTATAAGTAGGTATATGATTGTCATAACTACTAATTAATATGAAATATAATTATTAAATTTTTATAGTTCTAATGATAGAAATCAACGTTGTGAAAAAGTTCAATAAAGAGTTTGAGATTTTTGCTAACCATCGTAATCAAAAATTGGTACTTTTAAATATCTAAAACATCAGTAAATTTGCCAACTACAATCTACGTCATGTTAAATTTTATTTTAATCAGCTTTCTCACATTTTATAGTTTGAGACAAACACTATATGATACAAATAAATAACCAAACACGAGACTTGTAAAGTTGTAACTACCATTATTAAAAAATGCTAAGGAAGTATGCACCTGACATGGTGCACCATTTTTTCCAATTGGTTTAGAAGTAAATTATACTTTGATACTATTACTCGTAAAATGTTGTGTAGTTATAAAAAATACATTTAGGGCCGTTCTTACAATGTCCGGTTAAGTGTCGGTTAAGACTAACCGGTAGAATTCTATCGGTTAACTCATGATAAATTCTTCCGGTTAGTGTTATCAGGCACTAACCGAGCATTGTAAGAATGGCCCTTAATGAAATTCTAAAACCCTAAATGTAAGTCAGCGTTAGTACCAAATCGTCGTAGTTTTAATTTTTAAAATGTAAAAACTATTATAATATGGTTTACCATTGTTTTACTTTCCAAGGATACAATTTTTCAATTTTTACTACATACTTTGTAAATTTTAATTATGCGTGAATATACAGGATGATTCTTTTAAGTTTTAAGTGGGTACACTAATTATCTCGAAAAGTATTTACTTTTTTAAAAATATTTTTATACAAGGTTTCAAGTTATTAAAAAACCAACGTTTTCATTAAAAAATTATATTTTTAAATATTTTTTATCTTTATCATGTTTTAAGTTTTTTACTTTTTTGAATGACAACATAGAGTTTCAATTTCATATTCCAAAGCAGAATATTTTTCTAAGTATTTTGATTCATAAAAATCGAATTTAGGGCTAGTAGTTTTTGAGTTATAAGTATTTAAAGTTTAGATTGGCAGAGTGGAGTGGTACAGGGTTACCCCGCAAAATGTTTGTCCACTACTCCGCTTGACTAAACTTTAAATACATATAACTCATAAACTACTCGTCCTAAATCGATTTTTATGAATCAAAATACTTAGAAAAATATTCTGCTTTGGAATATGAAATTAAAACTCTATGTTGTCATTCAAAAAAGTAAAAACTTAAAAAATGATAATGATAATTAATATTTAAAAATATAATTTTTTAATGAAAACGTTGGTTTTTTAACAACTTGAAACCATGTATAAAAATATTTTGAAAAAAGTAAATACTTTTCGAGATAATTAGTGTACCCGCTAATTAAGAAAAAGAATCACCCTGTATATGTACATATTTTTGATTTTATAAAATACCAGCCATATTTAAAACTAATGAATAATGTATATAATATATACCAGCTTTGATGCTATATATACCTCCTATAATTTACTATTATACATTTAATTTTTAATATATGCTAATAATAAACTAATGATACCGACCATTGTTTTTTTTTTTTTTTGTTACAATTAATTACAGTAATATAATCAGTTTGTTCAGCTATTGCCACTATCTTTAACACTCCACCCAAATTACTGATTATCAGAGATGGTGGTTCGTCTCTATAAGTAAATATGCTTATAGTGCTTATGACTAGTCTACGGTCTAACTGTTATCTCATAGCTGACATAGGTGTAATAGGTCAATAATGAATATAATAATAATAATAATAACAACTTTTAATTGAAAATTAAATTATATATTGTGAATTGTATAAATGCTTTTTAATTTCTATAAATTACTAAACAAAACTGTTTATAATAATCAGCAATTATCTACAAATCATTTTCTACGATTTATCAAATAATATTTTGATATCTATAGTTGTATGTATAGGTATACGTCATATGCAATGTATTAAACAATCGTAAAAGACCATAATATTCTAATTTTTTGGGTTTATGAGAGTAATATTTCATGTATTATAATATTTGAAAAATTCGTATTATTACAGTTTAAAAAATATGTTTTCGAGTGCTTTTTAGTTATTCCAAATCATAGGTAGACAAAAAAAACTTATATTTTAAACTTCAAATCAGGTTTTCTCAAACTATACATTTTTAGTTGTACTGCGTTGAGGTGCGAATTACACACATCACACACAGGAACACTGTTATATATGTGCACGCATGACGTGACCCTGGTCGAGTGCAGTGCGGGCACAGTGTGCTTGGCGCGTACAACCCTTTTGGGATGAAAGACGCGGCCGACGAAATTTCAATCAAAACCAAACCGGCATTTCAATATTAATATTAATATGACTTGTATATAATATTTTGTGATGTATGAGCAATGAGTAATGACGGGACCGCGGCCAACAAAAACAGGTGCTGCAACCGTACGTAATTCGCATTGTGAAAATCCGCCACAAAAGCTTTCGTTCCGCGCGCGATTCGATACGCATCTATACGTGCATCGCACACGCGTTTTATATATTATACGAAACGTATAAAGGCAGCGCGCGCGCCCCTAAAATTTATAAACTGCGACCCGCGGGCCCCACACAGGGGTGGTCAGAGTGTGGGCCTTGTGCGTGTGCGCCCCGTAAACTGTCCCCGTCCGTTTTGGGCGCACTACAGGGGATGTTTTTATTTCCTTATATGTGCTTCGTATTATTAGCCGCAGTACGAAATCGCGTCCCCATCCAATCACACCCCCTCGCTCTCTCGTTCATGCCCGTTCAATATCCTATTAGCGCACGGTCCGGAAAATCCGAAAGGGTTCCGGTCATCGGCTGGTTTGTCTTCTGCAACCATCATACATTATATTATTATATATTATGGTATATATGTTACACTAAATCAAGATTATCTAATATATGGTATTATTCTATCGACGAACCCGCCACGCGTGCAGTTTACAGTGTACGRACATAYGACTTTTTACAGGTTTTCAATTAAATGATAATATTACGCGTTGTCGCCGTTCAAACTCTGCAGAACAATTAAATAATATAATAACAATAATGATTTGAATATAATGAATATGAATAATGTATGTACCTACATATAATTTTACCAAAAACACCGCTCAGAATAAAATGCGTTCTWTGGGATGCAGAATTATTGTCACAAATTATTATTATATTATTTGTATAAAATACTTTTGATTTTTCTATTGATGATATAATATGACCGGAAACTTATGCAGTTTTTTTTGRTTTGATGTATAATTTGTAATTGTTAGATCTTTTTAAAATGTATAATGTCAGCTGGAGTGGAAGTTTTTACCTTGGATTTCAATCCGGTTTGAAGATTTTTTTTAGGTAACTAAATATTTAAAAAATGTCCATGGATCAATAACAATTGATTCTGACAATATCATAGTATAATTATTAATTAAATAATAAGTGTATKACAGTTTTGTAATTGCCATTTGTCATTTTAGTTTCACTGAAACTTAAAACATACTTTACTTAAACTAGTCAAACTTATTAGAATCGTCAACCGGTCAACCCACTAATAATTGTTTCTCACTGTAACCCACATGCAACATTCATCAAATTTATGTACTTTTTTACTTTAAAGACGCTAATTRGCTAAGCCCTACATGAGCTAAGTATGTTTATTTATTTATATTAACATATACCTTCATTACAAATTACAACGCACATTTTTACATTAAAATAAGTTTTGCAATTATGAACAAATGTTTCTTTGATATTATATTACATTACCATTTACCTACATGTAAAGATCAATTTATAAAACCAATTCATAGTGATCCAGTGTTTTCAATTTTTGAGCAATCGTTTTTTTTTTCAATTCGTTTACACCGTTTTTGAAACAAATTCACGCCTTCACAACACAACTACTTATGCTCAAAAATGTCAAGTGTCAAATGTTTTGAAAACCATCGATTCTAGACTTCGGACTTTGACTATTATAATAGTATATTAATATTTAATGTTATGAGATCATGAAGTCTTCTCTTTCGTGTACACGCGTTGTTGTTTGGGTGTATGAGCCGGCACGTGCACCGCCGTGGTCCGTCCACGTGCCGCAGTCGAATCCTCGTGGCCGATGAAGTTACTGTACGGGTAATAATAAKAAGGAACCTTGTTTRTCCGTTTACTTGTTGAATGCACAAACGCCACAAACACTTGTAAGTTGTGAAGTGTTTAACGTAAAACCTGTATAATGTATCATATTGTAATACATTATATATTATAATCCAGTCATATACTGTCCCGACTGCGAGTGATCCACCATTCAACCACCATGCATGATGCCGCTCCGAACTTTTCTTTTAATATGTTATGCTCTTTTATGCAAATATTTGTGTATGAATTTTCCCATGTATAAAGGCACAAATTAATTTTTTTTTAATTTTTTTATTAATCTTTTTGGTGGTATATAGATGTTTAATGACCTTATTTCAAAATGGTTAGACTTTTTTGTACCAATTAAGTAGCGTCGAATGGCAATATGAACTTTTCCGAACAAGCACCACCATTTTTGTTGTAAATGTTGAAACGCTTGATTATTATGAACTTGTATTCATATTCCTACATTGTACATAAATGAAAATTTTAACGTGTACTTTCTGAGTTAGTCATCTAGATAGAGATTAAAAAGACATTGAGAAATGTCTATTTAAAATTTTTATAGTCATAGTATAATATTAATATGTATTTATATAGTATTTAGTAATAAATAATACTTTGTAAAAATTGGCTGATACGTATGCCAAAGAAGCCATCTCCTCCCATCTCTCTTACAAAATTCACACCTATACTCTTCACGATCTAAAATCCGTCATCAACAACCATATTTTAACTCAATGGCAGATCTCGTGGTCATCACTTCACACCAAGCTAAATAAAATAAAATCTACAGTTTTTCCATGGCCATTCTTCTCATTACCAAGACGCCAGGAAGTAATTTTAAACAGATTACGGATAGGTCACACATGGGTGACCCATAAACACCTTATGAACAGATCAGAACCTGACCAATGTCAAACTTGCGGTGAAACTTCCACGGTTGAACATYTAATATGCCTCTGCCGTAAATTCACCGACATTAGAACCAAGCTCAACATAGAAGACAATCTGGAAGAAGCCCTAAGTCCCCAGCCAAGCAACATTGAAAAATTAATCAGTTATTTAAAAYAAACTAAACTATATCAAATTATTTAACCTAGATATATCTCAATCCTTTTTTGTTCWYAYTATTAYCYTTGTTTTGTATATATTATTGTTAATGATTCATTCTTGTGTAAAAAAATATTAATGTTAAAGGCCAATAACCTTTGTTGTTGAGGCTCATTTAAAATAATAATAAAAAAAAAAATACTTTGTAAAAATTATCTGAGTTTGATAAGTATACTATAGGGCTAAATATTACATATAGATATTTGTTTTATTTTAAATCAAATAGTAA